TGGCAAATGAAAAAATGGAATTTAAGTGTTTGTAAGGGAGGGTAGGGACAAGGGGAAAAATGAGAACCAAGACCGGTCAGGTAAAAGTACAAGATCCCAGTAATGAATGTAACTATACTATATACCTAGAATGTACCAATAAACTCAATTTTAAAAAGTCATGGAATTGTGATAAATGACCAACTTTTAATGGTCCTTTTGTTCTTAAACTCTAAGGATCTCATGAGTCATTTGACTGACTAATAATATAACTGCCTTGTGGATATTACTCATCAATATTTTGGGATTAGTTGTTGATACTGAATCACAAAGTTTTCCAAAATCCTCAGGTTATGTAAGAATTTAACAAAGTATAATGTACATGAGGTCAATTAAAGATTCATTTTATAGTATGACTCTTTTACATTTATTATTAGCTCACTTAAAAAAAATCTTGACACTACCAACTGTACTATAAAAAAACCTGGTGAGCACAGTTTAAGATAAAAGAGTTGGGTTGCTTGATCATTGCTGCTTATGTAATGAAAGATGTCTGTCCTTTTTGTAGGGAAGGACCGCATCTCAGAATCTTCATTCTCCTACCTAAGGAGGGAGGGTGGCAGAGCCCACCTCCAACAATAGAATCTCAAGTTGTCTGCTACAGTACCTATTTTGCCAGTCTCCCCTACAGCTAGCCAGAGCTCATGGAGGTCAATCTGGAGTCAGCAAAAGCAACCTCAGAGGCAGTGCACACTCTGGGACTCAGGGAAGGTGCCACAGTAGAGGCTGTCCAGCCATGCAGGAGGTAGCCAAATCCCTTCCTGTGCAAGCCAGCTTTTAGCATGTAAGGCAACCAGATCGTTTCTGAGCTGGTTTCCTTTGTTGACTATGGATTTTGCTTTATCAACTTTACTATTGGGGATTTCCACTTCTTTAGCCATCCAAATGGGTAAAGAATTACCCAGTATTGTTTCCATAAGTTTATTTTGCTGCTTTGATGAGTTGGAACCAGTGTTTATATTGCTTGCAGTTAACATTCTGAATTAGACAAAGCATATAAGGTCCCAATCTTTGGGCAACAATTTTGAACTGTAATTTTGTAGTTTTTGTTTTTAAGAGTGTTTACAAGTCTTAAACATGAACTGACAAAATAGAATGATTACATAAGATACCTACATGTTTTAAAATATGAATCTACTTAGCATCCTGAATTACTTTCTCAATATTCAACTTTGATCAGGTTCAGTAACTTCTCCAAACATCAGTTTAGAGAAAATTGTAAAATAGGGGTAAAATTCTTCTTAATTTAAAAGATTTAGAATTAAATTATAGATATATATGTAAAATATTAAACAAAATGCTAGACTCATAAATATTCCATAAGTATGACTTACTATTTTTAATAAATATTTTAATTCATATTACAGTAGAAAGAAAATACTTTTGAGGAATTATTTTGCAATGTAAATTTTGCTTCAGCTTCATTATAATAATATAATGTTATTAGTATTATTTAATCTCTCAGTCTTAGCTCAATGATTAAATAGGTTTTTTTTAAATATAGCACTGATTGTTTCATAGATTCATATTTGTGAAATAATCCAGGAAAAAAAATATAGAGGAATTATATTATAGGTTTTCTGGTTTATGCATGTATTTTTGGAGCAGTATATTTATCCCTTACAAAAGTTAACCTTATAGTGATAAGCCTACAACTCAGAAGGGTTAGTTATTTTCTGAGCTCTGTAGCCAGAAAAGAGGAAATGCTATGATCAAACCCCAATTCCATATGATTCCAAAGCCTTTGCTACTTTCTGTGCACAAGTCATGTGTGAGGTACAGTGTAAGCACTGAATGTATTTAATTTCTATTTTCCCCTAATTTTAAATACATGTATTAATATTAAAAACACAAAATGAGTGATAAATTATAACAAAAATGAGTAGAGATTATATAATTGTTTTTGTTTTATGTTTTTATTTTGGTATGGTTCTCTGTGCCCAAGGATTACCAGGCAAGGTTTTCAGAGGCAGTGTTAGGACCTATGTCACCACTTACTAAAGACCTTGGTTCACTTCTCCTTTCCCTCACATGTTAGGCAGTGTTAGGACCTATGTCACCACTTACTAAAGACCTTGGTTCACTTCTCCTTTCCCTCACTTCTTGTCCAATAGTGTCTCTGGCTTCTTCTTCCTTATCTGTGTAGTTGAGGACTACTGAAATTTACAACAAGTAAGTAAAATATCAACTATTCCTAGATGAAAAATGTAATGTGTTAATTGTCATTTCAACAGCAAAAGATAATGCATAGCTGGAACCCTCAACCATAAGAAAGTAGCATTTAATTAAGGGGCCTTGGAACAAGGAACAGCAATAAAAAATGAACACAAACAATATACAAATCCTCAGGCTAGGTCTCTGTAGCCACCATGAAATTACATTAAAATCCTGTGTGCTATTTATTTTCTATAGTTTGTCAATGCAGCAAAAAATATAGAACCAAGACTAGACATTCTGGCTTTATTGTACACAAGCCTTCCAGAAAAAGAGCATAAAATACCCATCTAATTCATGCCTTAGTTTCAAGTATCTAAGGATATATTCATGTGTAGTTTTACAAAAGGACTACTTTTTCTGCCTAAGCTATTCATAAAGTGCATATTCAGTTTGTGTTTTCACTTATCTTAGACCTTCCCCCCAAAACAGCTGCTCTGCAATTGTATTTTGCTTATTATGACATATTTATTGTTGTGTTGTTTTCTTTTTGTTTTGTTGTAATAGGCAGGATTTAGAAATATGTTGTGTGTTTGTAATTTAAAAGGGATGATATAAAATATTTGGTGTATTATTATCTAATCATTTGCATCACTTAGATTCATCTTTGACTTATCCTCTTAATCTATGCAAATGTAGAGTCCCATTGCTTTCAGATCCTAAATACTTCCCAATTCCCCCCCACACACCTTAATTCCTCAGCCTGATTTCAAACTCTTTTTCTTTTCTAACTACAGCTTCCTACTGGCCTTCTATATCCAGTCTTGGATTTCTCAAATCCAGTCTCCTCACAATCCCTGGAGTGATCTATCTAAATGTTAATCTGACCAAGTAAAGTATAAAGCCCTTCACCTTTGAGGCTAAAGCTAGATTTCATTAACAAGACATAAAAAAAAGGAAAAAAGTGGTGGTAATTTAACCTTTACCTATTAAAACTGACCTCCTGCTACTCATCATAAATCTTATACTCAAGCAATACAGAACCACTTCAAATCTATTGACACTCTAAGCAACTTCTCAGCCCCATGTCTTTTTATTTCCGTGGCTGGCTGTTTTCGTTCTACCTTTAGTCTGGGTAACCTTTGTCATCTTCTAAGACTTTGTTTTGGCATTACCTCTTTCAAAAAGGATTCTTGATCTAATGCCACAAGGCTGATTTGGTGCTTTCATCACATATTGTGACTATCTTTGTTCTTACTATTTCTTTAATAAAAAGAAAATCCACCAGTTTGTATGTCCATCACCCTGAACTATTCAGAAAGCTCTTTTAAAGTGGAAGATAGATTACGATCTTTCATCTTAGTGCATAGCACAGAGTGCTTGGTATGGTGCATAGGAAATGTTTAATAAATACCTGATTACATAAATATATGTAATACATATCTATCAAAATATTTTTGCTTAATTATAAATGCTTTGCTGAAAATTTTCACATTCATCAACTCATTCATATTTTGGTTTAAATCCAATGTGAAACTATCATAGTCATAAAGGATTTAACCGCTTAGTACTTTTTTGGGGTGCTATAAAAAATGTGAATGGACTCCTTGAGAGTTAGTCTTTAATGAATGTCTCCAGATGTGATTTGGTTGGAATTTTTTATAAGTGAGTTCTTTAAACTTTGGAGAATTTGTAAAATTAACTAATTTCAACTAAGTTTTAATTTGTTCCCTTCAAATTATCAAGCAAGGACAATATATGATCTTGCTTACAGTGAAAGATAAGTATAACTAAGTTTGTCATCTTGGATATTAATGGGGGAATAAAGATCCCTTTTCAAACAGAATGAGTAAGAGACTAATAAATGTTTGCTTAAAAGCAAGAAAATGAATAAAATTCAATTAACTATACAAAAATCACAGACTTCATACCAAAAACATAATGATCTGTTCTAATATAAATAGATTCATTACAATAAGAAGAATAACCTTTTTCCTCTCTGAGTTCAAGTCTCTCCAGCAATGACTGAACTTTTGTTCATTAGCTGACTAATGATGAAAGCTCACTTTTAAGGGGCCAAAGGCAGACCTTGGCAAATGTAAGGACTGTGATCAGCATTATGTGCTAAAGGAGATAAAAATCAAAGAAAATTAGTCAAGCAGAAAGAGCTTTGAAAGAATAATATTATCTTTAGCAGTCCTGAAAGTAGCATGCCTTTTTTTGTGTTCATCTATTCAACAAATAATTACTGAGGGAATCTTACGAAAATAGTCCTCGGGGTGGGGGTGGGCAGGGAACAGCATCAGAACCTAGAATAGAAACCAAAGCCTTTCTGAATACTTTCTAAATGGATCCTTTCTAAAGACTTTACATGAATTAACTTATGAATGGTCCCACAATTATCAGAGGCAGACACATCTTCCTTATGTGGAAAGTGAGATGCAGAGAACATAAATAACGAGCCCAATTTTCATACAGCTCATGCTCTAACAGCAGTATCCGGACTATGGGAAACCTGCTAGGAGAGGAAGACATGACTCCTCTGTGTCATGCATGAAAACAGAAGTGTTACAAGTGGAACATAACAAGTAATACTCATATTTGTCTTAGACATCACCTCATCCATAAAATGGCAAAAGCTTGGTGTATGTATAGTAAACACATAGTAAGAATTTGTCAAATGAATTAGTTAAATGAAGGCACCAGTGTAAAAGCTTCAAGAAGAGAAATTAAAATGGGAAGATATATTTAATGACTGATTGCAATAGTACAGGCACCATTACTATTAAACCATGAGTTCGGTGTGGTAGTTACAAGCAAGAATTCTGATGCGGAAGCAGCTGGCTTTAAATGGTACCTCTAGTTGTATAGATTTGGTGATACCGACTGTCTGTGAGCGAGACTGTCCCCATCTGTAACAGAAATTGTAACAAAATATTAATATGAATAAGTAAGTGAATAGAGTAGAATGTTTATTAAAATAGTAGTTTTCGTTATTATTTCTTCTACTTAAGTTTAACTCATTTATTCCGAGGATTGGAATTTTTCTGAGTATTTGCATGAAGTTATATGTTACCTAGAAAAATTCAAGGAATTCAAGAATTTGAAGAGAACATATTTCACCATGTCCCACTATCAGAGGCATTCCAAAAATGGATCAATAGGCATTGAAGGGTTACAAATCGGCATACTGGCTACTGTACCCTAAATAGAAGAGAATCAAAGTCATCTCTGCCTTAAACACTTTATCCCCTGTAATAAATTTTAAAGCAATGAAGAAATAGAGGGGAGAAGAAACATTTAGGGAAATTGTCAAGGTGAAGGAAGAAATAAGTATGTAAGAAATAAGGCAGTGATAACCAAGAATAGAATATGGGAAGAAAAATATCATCTATGAAGGGCAAAGATTACTTTGAGAAACAATAGAAAGTAAGAATTACGTGAGATGATTTCAGCCCAGCAGTTAATCACTTTAATTTCATTCCAATCTTTTGATCTCCCAAGGGAAAACCAAGCCAAAGGAAGTAAATTTGAAAGTGCAATACTTTTATTGTATAAGTCTAGTTTCCTATATGTTAAATAGCCTTCACACTTTCATTGTCCATTAGGGTATCTTTTTCTTTTTTTTTTTTTTTAAAACTGAGTAATATAGATTTTCCTTGACAACTGATACAGGCCATGTACTCCCAGTTCTATGTGTTTGGCTTAAATTTATTGAAGAGCAATAGTGGCTTAAAACCATATTAGGGTATATCTGTTTAATGGCTGGTTGAGAAAACCAGACAGGCCTTCAAGTAGGGCCCAGTGAATTGGAGTATGCCTGTGAGCTGACATGGTAATTCAAAGTCCTCAGCAGAGCAGCAAAGTAATCAACAGTCACTGAAAGCGACTGGCACTTTAATTCTCAGCAGTGGTCCCTCCGGATCAGGACGTAAGCATAATGGCATAACTGCACAGAGCAGCCTACTTTACTGACTTCCGTGCCAGTCTAAAGACAGACAGGACCAATCATAATTTACTTGGCATGTCTTTCATCCCTCTATCTTTTTATTTTAAAATTCTGCGTTTTTTTACAGGAAATATCTGTTTTGTTCTGTCTGGGATGGGGGGAGTGGTGCAAGGGAGCCACTCTGGCCATCTATAATTCAAAGAACAAAAGCATTTCAGTCTCATATTCCTAGCAAATGCATTTGTTCCATACATAAAATAAAATATTCTTGTATTCTACCTCCATGCTAGGTTTATTTTATGCTTGAATCGGGGAAAAGGAGATACATTAAGTGATAATCATGTGCTCAGCTTCAAGATGTTAGAATCTCGCTGTTGACCTTTATACGGTAGCCTGTTTGTGAAAACAAGTCATGGGGAATGAAGTCAGCAAATTAGGCTCTATAAGAGAAAGGAAAAAAGCTTTAGACATAAGCAAGAGGCTATTTTAAAAACAGCTTGCTGCATGAAAATATTTAGTCAGTGAGAAAGTGAACTGGAAAACCAAATTAGGAGCTTTAATATAAAAATCTAGACTTTAGTGAGAAATGCTTAAAAAGGAAACTCACTGAATTAGTAGAGCGATTTGTTGTAGAAGGTAATCCAACATGGCAGTTTGTTCATAGTTTGAAAGAATATAGAAGAGAGTTAAGAGACAGATTAAAACTTCCACATTTCTTAACTAAGTATATTTGGGAGACAATCCAGAAGACTAGATTTAAATTGGAAGAATGTCAATTTTCTGCTTCTTATCCAAAGTAGGATAGAAAAGGATATGTCAAGACAATGTATGCATTTAAGTATAAAATACTGAAATGCAAAACTTATCATGTGAAGACGAAATAATTGAGATAAAAACAGTGTATACATTGTCAAATAATACTTGCTTGACAATTTCTTAGTAAGTATTTTTATTTTTTTCAAAGTGAGAAAAGATAATTTATTAAATTGGAAGTTGAAAATGAGTAAAAGTTTCTGTATAAATAAATCATATACATTTTAATTACTTATAAGCTTGAACAAGTCTCATTAGAAAAACAGTAAAAAAAAAAGTAACAGTATTATATATAGTCAATTATCTAAGACACTTTAGAGACAAGTGAAAAGTGCCTTTTCAGAGTTTAGGATTTCTTGGTGAGGAATGTTATTTGGCAACCTGATGAAATCTTCATTTCTGTATGGGTTTAGCAGTAGGAACTACAAAAGGGCAATAAGGTGAAAAAATTTTATGTTGAGGGTGAGAAAAAAGATTTGAAGCAGCAATATGTCATGGAGATCAAGCTTTCAAGGGGCAATCAAGAATGCTCAGCTACATACAAAGACCATGACCAATTCCAGAAATAAGTCACAGCAGCCTAAAGTACAGGGCTACAAGTATGAGAAATGTTAGGAAAATGAGACGTGAATATGTGTGTGAAAGGATTCCTTAACTGAGGTGATTTCTCGTTGTCCAAAAAACCTGTCCCATCCTTTCCCACTTTTAGGCCTTTTGGAGGGTATAGAGGAGTAAAAAAATGCAACTAAATAATATTAATGAGGTTCAGGAAAGAACCTTCTCTGTGGGATGATGCAGTCATTACTTTTTTTTTTTTTTCTTTTTGGTACCAGGGATTGAACTTGGGACCTTGTGCCTGCAAGGCAGGCAGCAGAACCACTGAGCTAAATCCCCAGCCCTGCAATAATTACTTTTAAGTCAAACAAACAAAGCAATCATTGATCCTGTCATTTGTCCAGCAAAAATAATGCATGCAAAAGGATTAGCAAGGTGTGTGACACATAGAAGTTGTCAGTAAAGAGCAGCAGACATAATTATTCCCTCTCATTATTACTATTACATCGTTAATAGAATTAGTATTACTATTACTACTTTTATTAATTGTCAAATTCTTATCCTGCACAACAAATTTTTGAGATTAGCAACTATTGTAGTTCTTTTTCATTTTTATTCCTATAGCACTTAACATTGCATGCAGTATAGCACTGATTAAAGAATGATGATATTAATGATAGAAGGGTAAAACACAGAAATGTTTGCAAAGCTGCAGCCCACATGCATACAGACAACTCGAAATTGATTCGATGGGGGCTTTAAAAGAGGTCTGTACAGGAGGATTGTCAGATCAAAGAAGAGAAGTAATTAAAACAGGGACATTTCTCAGAGGACTAGATCCCTGATCCAAATCTAAAACCATGTGAAGATGAAGACAGAAAGAGTGAGATTATAGTTTAAAACAAGCTTCCACTGGGCTGGAGATTTAGCTCAGTGGTGCCACTGCCTGACTCACAAGTGCAAGGTCCTGAGTTCAATCCCCAGTACAAAAAGAGAAAGAAAAGAAAAGAAAAGAAAAGCTCCCATTGTTGATGATAACACATACACCAAGGCATAGATTGAATAAAAGACCATGACATTCTTATTAGAGGTAATGCTAAGGTTAAAGCTTAGGATGATAGAGTGAGAGGTAGGAAAGCAGACCTCACAAAAGTTCTTTTGGATTACCATGCCAAGTTACTCACATTTTATCTGCACAGGGATTGGTGGAGAGGTTTTATATTGAAAGCTAAAAATAAATGATGCATTTTGGAAGGATCCACTTTATTGCAAGACAAATAGGATCTTGAAGATGAGAAGAATGGGTTAGGGAAGTCGATGAGAGAAAATTTTCCAGAAGAAAAGAGAAAGCAATATCAACAGATGAACAAGAGAAGTATCTATTTTGATATAAAAATGGGGGGCTGTGATATCTGAAAGAACAGATTCAGTGGAGTCATGAGAGTAATTGATAAGTTAAGGCATAAATAAATGGAGGAGAACCAAGTAGAGTGTATTAACCAGCTTTCCTGTCACTGACAAACGCTATTCAACATCCACAACTCAAGGGGGGGAAGACTTAATTAGGTTCATGGTTTTAGGGGATTAAGTCCACGGTGGGCTGGCTCCGAGGGAAAAATACCATGGCGGTAGGGCGTGGAGGAATAAAGCTGTTCATTCGGTGGTGACTCAGAAGCGGAGCATGAGCAGCGTCAGAGAGGAAGGGGCCAGAGACCACATCTAGTGCCGGAGTCTCTCCTTCGTGACCCATGCTGACACACAGCATGACTGATTTACTAATTCCCCAGGAGGCTCTCCGGCCAACCAAGTTGACAAGATTAAGTTTAATGCATAAGGATTATTCTCAGGGAGAAAAAAAGAAATGTATAGGAATCATAGGGTAACATATATCCTCACGAAAGTACTACGGATTGCAATTTGTTTTAAAGTAAATAAGGTTTGAAAATGTTTACAACTCCAGAAAATCAGGAGGAGAGTGGCAAGGTGAAAATAGAAAACAGACTTTCACTTATGGCCACAGCAAAATTACATAACAGAAAGTCAGGGTCTGCTTCAAGGAAGGACAACTCTTGTAGTTAGTTCATAGGATCCAAACCCTATGCTCAGATTAGTATTCTGTACTGGATATATTGAAATTATTTATAATTTTCTAATAAGGTACCTTGCAAGTTGAAGGATTCATATTAGCTGATTTCAGGACCGACTACAAAGCTGCACAATCAAAAGAGTATTCTCTTAACTGAAAATAAGCACAATGATAAAGTTAAAACCCTATAAATATACCAAGAGTGGTCAACTGATCTATGTAAAGATAGAAAAATCAGTTCAACAAAATAAAAGAAAACATTTCATCAATTGAATGTCCATATGAAAATGGGAGGTATACATACAACCTTACCTTTTCCATCACATGTACCTTAAAAATACATCACAGACCTAAATGTTGCCACGGTGTGCAATCATGGTGGTGTAGAGAAAGAAAAACCACTTAAAAGTGACCCTTAGTTCAATCCTTGAGAGCATCAGAAGGGCTGCTCAGACAAGAACACCAGAGTTAAGAAGACTCCCAGGAGAAGCAGCAAAGCTGAGAATTCTCAAGCTTTTACTTAGAATATCAGTGTAAGGGAAAAAGGTAGAAGCAAAGTGGTTTGAGCAAGGACCCGTCTCAGGGCTGGGCAGTTTTCTTGGGGAAAGGGGGCGGACAATGAACAGACTCAACATGCCTTACTAATCTAAACTTCTTAGTGTTTAACCATTCACTCCTCACAGAGCTTACAAGCCTTTGTCCTGCAGTTTAAACATTCACTCTTTGGCCAAGTCCCTCACAAAATGCCTAACAAATCTATACAGCTTCTAGAGCAAATCGGGTAAAATATTTAGGAGACATGGGTTTTACTGATATTTTTAGATACAATACCAAGATACAATCCAGGAAAAGTTGTAGTTGCTTTAAAGTTATTTTTTTTGCTTTGTGAAAGACACTATCAAAATAATGGAAAGACAGGCTCTGGATAAGAATATTTGGAGACTATGTATCTGATAATGAATCTGTATTTGAAATAGGTAAAGAAATTTAAAACTCAAAAATACAAAGCAAACCAATTTTAGAATGGGCAAATTTGAAAAGACCACATTAAAGAAGACATGCAGATGGGAAAAAAAAAAGCATATGAGAGACTGTTCAGCATCACATCATCGGGGAATTACAAAGTAAAACAAAGATGAGATACCAATACGTACTTATTAACACAACTAAAAGCAAAATAAAACACCTGATAATACCAAATGCTAGTAAGGAATCAGAACAGAAATTCTTATGACTGGTGAGGAGTAAAAATGAATACAGCCACTTTGAAAGACGATTTACTAATTTCTTACAAAGCAAAACACATCTTTCCAATGATTCTAATACTGGTATTCCCAGATAATTACCCACCTGATATGAGGACTATTAGACACCTTCCTAACAGGTTTATATTAATTCCCCTCTTCAGAGGCTGTAGGATGGTAGTGTGACAGAACATGATGGTAAAAATTCATGATACATCAAAACCACTGCCTAAGGCCCAGAATCCAAAGTGGAAGGAACTGGAGTCCCTCAGGCTCCTTTGAGGACAAACTAGGCTCCCATATCCTAAAACTTTGTACCATCCCCAAGAGTGCCATCTTCGGGACCAAGTCTTCACTAATATGGGTCTTTGGGGGATATTTAAGATTCAAATTTAGTAAAGACTTAAGTTCACATAAAAACATACATAGGAATGATTACAACATCTTTTCTCATAATCCAAATATGGAAGTACCCAAGATAGCCCTCAAGAGATGAATGGAAAAACAAAATATGATACAGCTTATGTTAGAATATATTGAATAATAGAAATAAATTAGCTACTGATCCACAGAAAGATATGGATGAATCTTAAACATTCATTGCTCAGTGAAAAATGCCCAACTGAAAGGCTACACACAGCATAATTCCATTTATATGTAACTCTGGTAAAGGCAAATCTAAAAAGACATTGAAAATATCAGAGATGCCTGGAAATATAGGGGAGAGGAAGAGAGTTAAATAGATGATGTTCAAGTGGTCTCCTGTAGTTGGAGAACTATTTTGTATGATTCTATAATTATGGATACATAGCATTAGTCATTCACCAAAACTCATTGAGATTTTTTTTTTTTTTTTTTTTTTGTACCAGGGATCAAACTCAGGCCCTTGTGCCTGCAAGGCAGGTGGCAGCACCACTAAGCTAAATCCCTGGCTCAATATTCCTACTGTCTTAATGTGCCAATCTTTTGTAATTTCAATGCATTGCAATCAAATTTGAAATTTGGGTATATGATCCTCTGAATGAAAGCAACACATAGTGTTCCCACTACAGTCATTGAGCTTTTTAACATGAAGTATGAACCATAATACAGGTAAAATTTTCAAAAAATCATTTAAACCAGACATAGTGGCATACACTTGTAATCCTAGCACTCCTGGGAGGCTAAGGGAGGAAGACTGCAAGTTCAAGTCAAGCCTGAACAACTCAGGGACTTGGCAAGAACCTGTCTCACAATAAAAAATAAAATAAAAAGGAAGCTAGTATAGTTCAGTGCAAAGGCTCTGGGTTCAATCCCAAGAACTACAAAAGAAAACCATTAGTCAGTAGGGGGTTCTTAAGACCAAATACAGAATATAACAAAATAGCCTAACAGTATTACAAAGTTATGATATAATTTAACTGAAGGGGATAAGTTATAATCTAAGTAAATTTGGAACTGAGTGGTCTGTCAATCTAATGGCAAAAGGAACTGTATGTAAGCGCTATATCTGAGTTGATAAAGTTGCTTGCCATAACAGAACAGGTGAACCATTTTGAAATTGCTATGTTTGTATAATAGTAAGTAAAGCAAATTCGGAGAAGACGGTTGGAGCCCAGTTGTTCATATTGGAGTGGAAGTTACAGGTACAGAAGATAATTCCAGTGTGATCGTTGCTGTGATGAATTAAAGTTTGAGACATCCCTGTAAATTCATGTTTAGCAATACAGATCCAAGTGGGCTGGGTTTCAGTTTGTGTTCCTAAGAGTTGCAAGAGACCAACAGCTAAGCACCCTGAGGACAGGACAAAGAGTGGATGGGAGAGATGGTTCCTCTCTCTTTGGTAACAATAGTCCCAAGAGCCACAGCAGTAGCAACAAACCCTAGCACTGGCCATGAAAGTTAAAAAAATCTTTGCAAAGATTCAAAGAAAGTAGACATTCCAAAATGGTAGGATTACACAGGAAAGAGGATCCTAGCTTTCAACTAAGTTTTGTAGTCAAAACCATTTAGACTGACACCCAAGCTCCTAAGTGTCAAGTTCATACTACCTGGGGCTGATTACGACAGCCTCACACAACTGCAACCAAGTGTTATACTTCATATACATGATTCATAATGAAGGAAATGCTAAAAAGAAATAATCATTCAAACTGTATTGGTATGTAAGTGTGTATTCTTCTTGTTCACACTTTGCAGAATTAGCAGATTGTTAGTTGTTAAATATAGTTTTCCAAGAGAGTAAATCCAAAGTTTGCTAGAGACCAACTGCTGAGCTACTCTGAATTTTCCTGGTTAGAGAACCAAGTATTAACCTATTTCTAAATAGTATTTCTCTATAGCCTTAGAAATAGGAACTGATTTCAATTCACGGAAAAAAACCTGTAGGAGACATAGGAGGTGCTTGGATTTAAGAACACAATAAGTCTATGGAACCAAAATGATAGAAAAAGAAAAGTGAATTGCCAATTTGACAGGAGAAAATCCAGTATATGCCACACATAACATTGTGCAATAAGAATACAACAGTTAATGGGATACTGACTTTTTCTGCAGAAATTCATCTTTAGAAGCAATAGATAAACGTAACGCACACACTAATGCACATGCCAGAGTGCTAACCGATTTAGATACATGTGATCAAATTCAGCAATGACCCAAAGTGAGAGGTGTTTAATTACACCTACACAGGCATATTGAGGATGAGAGAGTGATGAGTTAGTCGTTCAGCAGGCAAGAAGAGGAGCCAGAATTGAAATCCAGAATTCAAGCCCATCATAGCTGACAACCAAGATTTTCTTTATTGTTATTATTTTTTTCAGATTAAGCTTTATCCTTTTGTTAACCTTCCAATCCCTAGGTTTAAATTGTGACAATTATTGATGATAATTCTATTATAAGGCTATAGCTCTGAATAGGAGTTCCATCTAGTAATTAGGCAAATGAATATCAAAGCTCACAAGATATTACATTTATTGTTCCTCAGCTTCTATATAGTCACTGTTACTGAACTTGCTTGAATATCATCAAAGTTCCACCATTAAAATCTTAATTTTAAAAGTTAGATACAATTTTAGAGAGAAATATATGAGGTGACTTTCCAGTTTTTACTCATGTCAATGACTATAAATAATCTGGCATTTTAAAAGGGCAAATCTGAGTGAATTGATGTTCAAAAGTCAGTTTATAGCCTGAAATTTAACTTCAAAACTCCTACTTTTATTGGTTCATACACCTAGGAGAGACTTGTGATCAGTAGTTATTCATTTTTGCTGTATCATGGCCTTTAAAAATAACTCGAGTAGCATACAATTTTATTTTTAACTCCTTTTCGTACACAGCATTATTTCCAATAGCATTGTCTACCATCTGAGTGCCAACAGCTCACCTTCTGCTGTGTGAAGAACGCACCACTTGCTTGGCTTCCCCCCAACCACGAAGTGTTCGGGAGGGTAACAGATGCTGCCTACCAGGCTGTCGGGTCTGAAATAATGCAGGAGCGAGCCACGATTCTGCTGCCCTAGATGAACACGCTGAGGGCCACGTGAAAGACATTACTTCAAGTAAGGATTCCTCCACAACGTTTCTAGAATGTGAAAACACAGAATGTGGAGCCCAAAGCAGAGCAGTAGAGAAGAAAAGTAATGTCACCATAATATTCTCCCACATTTTCCATTACACTTTACTTATAACCCTTGCCCTGTATTCAACTAGAAAGCGTTAATTTCTTCAGACAGCAGACCACCATTTGGAAGGGTAGGCTTCCTCACTGAGAAGGCGCCGTGCAGCATTCTGGGGAATGGTTCTCAAAGTCTCAGCTACGACAAAAAGAGAAATTTGGCCCCATTAGGCATCCTCTCAAGATAGAGGGTGCCAATTATAAAATCTCAGAATGTAAAATTCCCTTATCCTCCCATCTACTAGGTTTATGGATGAGAGAAGTAATCCAGAGATGGTTGAAGATCCAAAATTAGTATCTACTCTCCTTGCCTTCTAGTGTAGGTTTTCTAAGAAGGGTGTTTCTACATTTCAGCTGAATCTCATTGGAAATCGTGCAAATCAAAAATAACTGGAAGCGTAACAGATAAGTTTCCTTCCAGCCTTGCGTGGTGTCATCTTAAGTAATTCATGGAATATTTGGGATTTTCTTCCTAAGGTCTCTTTCTTCATTCCTCACCTTCATCAGCATTGCAAGACCAACAGTATATTGATATATTTGTTTTTCACTAAGATGTACACAGTCAACAAGAGTTTGCAGGGAGGAGATTGAAATTTTTCATTATAATTAAGGACTTGTTTGATACCATTTTAACCACTCCCACCTGTTGTGGAAAATGTTATAAAATGTATGTAAGTTAGAAATAAATTGACAAATTTTGAAGATTTTTTGTGTTTGCCTTTCTTCTGTTTAATTACCTTTTATGCCATTTTGCTTTACATTCCATTAGCACTTCTGATCTATAAAAGTATCTGAGTTCTAGTGCGGTCACTATTGAAGACAAGAGAAAAAGATTCTAGGCCTGGATTTTGGAGCAATTTTGACCAAGTTTATGGTGGAGGATTAAAATTGTACATGTCATTTCACTGCAGTAGTAAAGGGCACAAAATCACTATTTTTAGAATGAAGGTTATTTATCAACATATTTTACGTGAGTCAATAATTCAAGTCTCCCTACCCCGTTGTGCATCAACTGTGAAAAACGACTTGCAAAGGCACCAGTAGTTTACCCAAGTTTGTGTCTGTTTTCGAAGTAAGATGTTGATTATTTTAAATAGCCAGTGGAATGTCAAAACCAGTGAAATAGAAGACTTGTTTTGAAAAGTCTGGGAAGCAATTTACTTGGCAGCAAAAGTTCTTGCCCAGAAAAAAAAAGGGGGAGGGGATAATGCCAGCATTTAAACTTAGAATAAAATTGTTACAAGACACAGAGTGATAGAATGAAAAGGTTTCACTTTCAAATAGCAAATAAAATGACACAATGATGGTGCCATCCCTCACAGCACAAGGGGTCTATATAAAATCTCAAAACCAACAGCTTCTCGCCAGATTACCAATAAATCCCACACTGTAGTGCATGTAAGACTTGCAAGTTATGTTGAAGTTCAAGAAAGCTTTTCTGCTGCAGATAGCTGCAATAAACAATTTAAGATTTTGCAAATATAAATTCTGTCTTGGAGGAACTTGTTTGGCATTGGTATTAACAGTGGCCTTTTAACAACTGTCTTCCTAAGAGGTCTCACTTCCCTCGTAAATTAACGTCACCATACATCAATTTCTTCATAATAATGTACTGGTGTCAGACATTCTAGTAATGATAATTGGGGAAAAGATTCTAAGTGATGGTAGAAAAATGGCTGACAGTATTAAATAATGGATGTGTACTTTGAAATTCTTTTCAGTCCCTCTGTGAACTATGGAGAGGTTTCTTAACTGCCCTGATGCATTCAGAAATTTGGTGGGGGTCACTGAGAAAGAATTTTTAATAGTATATTTGAGTCAGAAGGTAAATTACAGATTTTGTTGAGTGTTTGAAGAATGAAGAATAAAAACGAGCCTGCTTAATGCAGTTTTCATCACATTAATCAGTTCAATAATTGTGAAGCCTATCTGAAATATTTTGACTTCAAACGACAAGAGTGTTAGATTTAAAAGCAAATGGAATTTTTGAACAATCATGTGACAAAGGGGAGCTCTGAAATGTTTTACTGCCTTTTTGTCTTGTGAGTGAGGAAAGGTACTGGTATACCTCGTCTTACTGAACACTCCCAGGGGAATCACAATACAAAACTGAGCAGTGTCTCCTGAACAACCTTTTACAATAAGCGCAAAACGGAACAGTGACCTCTTCTCTGAATCCTCTCTGCCTGAGAACTTGACTTAGAGAAAAGAAGACAAACTTTGTGAATTCTGCAATCATATCTACAAAATGAGATTTTCATTTTTCCTTATACAAGTTATTTATTGATATGAAAGGAGAATAACTTGCCATTCAAGGAAAAGTGCAGAACCACTGACCTGCAGCACGCAACTGTTTTATGAGCGAGGAACTTTATTCCTAACAAGACGACCATGAAGAGTAAGGGTGGAGACTGTATCATTCCAATTGAAGAGATCGCTTATGAAATTATCACAAGTGTAACTCTGTGAAGCAAAACAGAACAAATTTCTTAATAAAGGAGTAAATTCATTATTTATGCTTTCAAAGTTAACACTTTACTACATAGCAAGACTTTGTCTCAAAAAACAAGTAAATAAATAACTAGACAAGAAAGATATATAGAGATATATAGAGATAGATAGATATTCAAAGTTAACACTTTACTACATAGCAAGACTTTGTCTCAAAAAACAAGTAAATAAATAACTAAACAAGAAAGATATAGAGAGATATATAGAGATAGATAGATAGATAGATAGATAGATAGATAGATGATAGATAGATAGATAGATAGAGTTTATAACTACTGGACCACTATTTTGAGCCTGACCATGTCACTCTTTGGAAAAAAGTTTCTGTCAAATAATTATACAAGGTTTGATGTAATATTTTTATTCATGTTGTTTTGGATAAAGGCTTTAGAAGGTTTATAGTAGATCACTGCCAATAAATTTTCATATAATAAATAGCACAAATTAAAATCAATTTAAAACATTAACTTAATTAAACTTATCTTTAAAAATAGAATATTATTTGATTTAATACAGTTATTTAATAGGATCACATGTTTAGAAAACTGACAAAAGGGTCATTTCATATATAGTAAGCTAAGTCTTAGTATCTGGGGTTTCTCCCCAAGAAAATTGGATTACAAATATCATGTTTAATGCTAAAGAAGGGGAAAATAAATTTCTTCTCTATACACCATATACTTTATCTCATTAGAATCTCATGCATATAAATTTGTGATAAGATTTTTAAGTGTACATGTATAAAGCTAAAAACATCAATCAGGAAATCTAAAAGCAAAGAACAAAATTTTCTTCTACCTGTGCTCCTGAATTGTATTAAAGCTGACATTTTCTATTGGATGACGAAGTACAGAAAAAGTAGATTATTAAGTTGGTCAGAATAAAAAAGTAACAAAAAACTGACTATTCTCTAACTCAAAATAGCACCATGTAATAATAAAATGTGGTTGGTACTGAATTTTCCAAGGCCATCACAATGAGTTTAGTGGAATATACAATGTGGAATGTTGCAAATTATACAAGTCATGGAATAGGAATAGATGTAAGTGAATGATCCAGTTACAAACCAACAGACCATGTAAGAGCAAGTGTTTGTAGCAGGAACAAAAACATAATAATCCAAGACACACTATTTTCTTTGTAATCAAGGTGTATAATGTAGTTTAGCTTCTTACCATCAAATTTTTTCACAGACATTAGTTAATGAGTACAAGTGTGTTTTTGGTATCCATAAGATTAAGGGACTTAAATATATCCATACAGTTCCTTTCTAATCTCTTATACCTTAATACCCCTCTGAGATTTACATTTTGCAGCATTTCTGAGCCTTAAGACTCTTACAAATTATAACACATGTAACATATGTACTTTTCACTTTTCAAGGTAGTGATATCAATAACAAAATTTGTTTGACTCTAATTACAAATGCATGCTACAGTTCATGCTTTTCATAACATTGATAGAGCATGCCATCAATAATTCCTTGAAAAATGGCATGAATAAAACTCTTAAATAGTCAAATAAAGTGAAATAAAAAGGCATGGTGGCAGATGCCTATAGTCCCAATTACTTGGAAGGATGAGGCACAAGAATAGCAAATTCACGATAACATAATAAGACCTTATCTCAAGATAAAATACAAAGAGCATACTTGACATGCATGAGGTCATGGGTTCAATCCTAACGATGAAAAAATAAAATAAATAAATAAATATGCAGCAAGCCCACCGTGGGCTACATAGTGAGTTCAAGGCCAGCCTGAACTAGCAAGACTCTGTCTCAACAAGGAAATATATATATAGTATGGAAAACACGTGTTCTAAAATCACTTTGTTCTGCATTTTAAAAAATGTTTAAATAAATCTAAAAAACTGTTTAAATGAAGTGATGCAATTAGTTGGGAATTCTAGCAATATTAGTAACTTTATAGCCTGAATAGAGAATGCATATCCTGGCATAATTTCTCCTTGATGAGCTTAAAATTTAATACAACAGTAGGCTGGGATCAATGAGGCATTAGCTATGCAAAGTTTTTCACTTCTCCACAATGCTTGATAGTACTGATTAAATTTCCTTGGCTAAGAACTTATTTATTCTTGAAAAAAAAGTTAAAGGTTGTTTAAATTAAAAAAAAAATTCATCTAGCTACTAAAGACCCTACAAAAATGTGCATGGATTTGTATAAACAACTCATACTCTGAAACAATATGTGCTGTAAGGATAATTGCAGATCATAAAACTGCTTTCTTCAGTTCCACCAAGTGTTCCCTTTTAAAAGCCTTCGATTACCATCTTCTGAAAAGTACATTTCACTCAATTTCCCCCAGATTGTCCAGCTATGGGAGTTATAATAAGAATGACATAATTTCTAAAAAAAAATCTGATGTGTATTTGAAGTCAATTTATTCATTTAGTTTAAAAACTGGTTGTGGTAAGGCATTCCAGCTAGGGTTTCTTCCCAGAAACCCAGGTTCCTAAGTAACTCTTTACTTGATCCATTGACATGGGGGTCCAGTAGCCTTAAAAATTTAACTCAGATAAAGCAGAATTCTCAGTTTTTACTCCAGTCCTGTACTCTGTATCAGTGTTTGCTCTTGGGTGGGAAAATGTAGCATTTTTCATCAGGTCAGTCACCATGGAATTTTAATTGAGTTTTTGCTTTCAGTTACTCACTGTATCAACAAGTCCTGTGTATTCTCTCTCCAAGACATATTACTGATGTGATTTATTCCTCTCTGCCTTGCAGTCCTACCTTGCCAAAAATCACTCTCATATCTTACCTCACCGTAGTAAAGGCCTTCAATAGTCTCAACAGCCCGCTTTTTGCGCAGTAGACAAAGAAGTACTTTACAAATATAAATGTGGTTATGCCAAATTATGACACCTGATACTATTTAGCTCTATAAACTGATCTCATACTAAACTCAATATTAGGAATGTCCATCCATGACCACCCAATATTATGTAAGTTGCCAATAATTCTTCATCATATAAACTGCAATATATTAATAGCACAATATTATTATTTCTACTATATTTTTGTTTCTTTGCTTATTTGCATACTTGTGTTTCCTAGTGCCTATCAAATCCATAAGTGTGGTCAATTTATCTTTATATCATTTTTCTACTTTAAAAGTTACCAATTTCAAAATATGTTGTTTGAATTCTAAACGAATAAGGACATACTAAAAACTTGTATTTACCTTGTTTATTCATTACTGTTTTCAGAACAATGCAATAAAACAGCATAATTATATTTTTTTATTTTGATCTGGGTGGGTAAGGAGATAATGGTATAAAATTAAAAGGTAGAAATCATGAAAGACATACTCCCCCATACTACTAGTCACCTTACTTTCATTTCTTTCAATTTAAGTATTTGCCAATTATAACAAAAATGTAATTTGCTCATTCATTATGCTTTGCTTTTTTAAAAATTTTATTTTTTCCAGTTAAAATCCATACTCCATAAGGTTGTTTACAATCAAATACTTTGCTATTTGAAATACTGCCTGGTGCATACTCATTGCCCAATACTATAAATATTTGATAGATAAATGAGTATTTAATCCCTTTAATTTTCTCAGTTTTTGATAAACAAGGAATATGTTTCAAAGTTCATAAGGGAAATGCTTTGTTTATAGTTCATCAATAATAGTTAACATTTTACACATTTTTGGATAAAGATTTTAAAGGAAATAGAAAACAGAGGCAGAACCATTTGTATTTAAACTTGGTACAAAAAGTAGGTTGTATTTTATCCCAAAATATACTGAGAATGATACAAGCATTATAAATAGTAAATACTGAAGATCTCTGTGATAGTCAATTAAAGAAGGAAAACACTGTTTCATTAGAAAGAAATGATATCATTTTCTTATAGTGTGACCTTTTTTATCTCCAACTGCTGTTACACAATCACATACAATAGCTTAATTTTCTCTATCTTATTCACTTATCTGTCATGTCTTATTCTTAGCTAATATAAGTGTGTTTTTTACTCTTATTTAATAATTTTCCATGTGCTTGAATTAGCTCTGTTAGAAAATTCTAGTTTATGCACCTTAGGTCAGAAAGTACATTAATTTTTTATAATGATTCCTAGTAATTCACTATACTACATTATTCTTAGCCATTAATATTCATCAACACTACCTAGAAAAATATAATTAGCCTCATAACTAATAAAAATTCATTTGTCATTGCTTCTTGCAGAGATTAAATTGAGCAAGGAAAGACAACAATGCATAGCCATGTTTCGTACATCTCCATAACTTTCTATTCTACAGCGATCACATATAAATTGCAATAACTACAGTAAAAGCCAGTATATAATTGCTGACCATGAGTGTTACAGATAAGTAATTCTGTAAGAATTCAAAAGAAGTATAGATTATGCCTAGATGATAAGGAGGAATGCTAGGAGAGGTGGTGATTAAGCCAGGTTTTGGATAGAGAATAGAATAAAAGGACATAGGTCCAGATCAGAAATTGTACGACTGGACTGCTAGTGGATTCATCTTGGGGAAAGACAAGATGAAAAACAGGAGAAAGGTAGGGAGTAGATGACTAAAATGAATTTAAATGTCAGACAAAGGAAGTTAGACCCAAAATACAGTGGACCCTTGACTTACAAACTCAATTGGCTCACAAGGGCTGGTTATAACTCAAGTTGGTTGTAAGTCAGTACAGTTGAGATCTGGATGCTTACTAGGGTATATTCTACAGAAAACAAGAGACAGATGAATCTTCCATTAACCTACTTAACCCAAATTGTTCATATGTCAGTTTGGTCATAACTTGAGAGTTCACTGTAAGAGTTGCTTGGTACTGGAGGATCTGGGGGAATTTTATTCTTTTTTTTTTTTTTTTTTTTTTTTTT